CCTTTTTGAATTGTGGTGCCCAGAACTGGACACAGGATTCCACGTGAGGCCTGACCAAAGCAGAATACAGTGACACTATTCCCTTGATCTAAATACTATACTTCTATTAATGCAGCCTAAAATTGCATTGGCCTTTTTAGCTGCGGCATCACACTGTTGACTCATGTTCAACTTGTGATCTACTAGGACTCCTAGATCCCTTTCATACGTAGTCTCCTTAAGCCAGGTGTCTCCCATCTTATATCTATGCATTTCATTTTTTTTTGCCCTAAGTGCAGTACCTTACATTTCTCTGTATTGAAATTCATTTTGTTAGATTTGGCCCAGCTTTCTAATCTGTTAAGGTCATTTTGAATGTTCATCCTGTCTTCTGGGGTATTTGCTACTCCTCCTAATTTGCAGTCCTGGAGAACAGGTAGAAAGTCTTATGTTTGTTCCTCACTGTCCCTGTTGAGCAATGTTTGGGGAGAAATACATCTGGCTAAGACCTGAGAAAATGGGAGCCAACATGGTGAAGTGGTTTGAGTGTTGGACTCAGACTCTGGAGACCAGGGTTCAAATCCCAGCTCGGCCATGTAAACTCACTGGTAAGAAATCACAGTCTCTCAGCCTCGGAGGATGGCAATGGCAACCCCTCTCTGAAGAAATGTGCTAAAAAAACCCCAATGATAGGGTTACCTTTGGGTTGACATAAATTGGAAATGATTTGAAGGCACATAACAAGAACAACAACAAGACATGAGAAAAACTTACCATAGTGTTGACAGTCACGAGCGAAATGATCTGGGTAGTTGGATTTGGTATAAGGTAGCCTTCCCCTCTCGGTGCACTTTGATATGTGTTGCACTACATGTTCCATAATCTTCAAGGCAGCATAGGGAGAAAGCTGATAGGGCCATAAGGCATAAGTGAACTTAGAAGTGGTATATATAGCTACTGCCTCAAGGTGACATGCATGGCTCTCTTCTTTCTCCCCTATTTTTCTTCACAACAGCCTTGCGTGGTGAGAGAGAATGACAGGTCCAAAACGACTTTGTAAGTTTTCTAGCTCGGTAGGAAGTTGAACTTGAGAAGGGGAGGCAGAGCCTTTGGAGATATGATGGAAGGTCTTATTCCAAGAAACAGGCCACACCTCGCAGAGAGCATTCTCTGCCATCACCCCTAAATTATGGAATGGCCTGTCGGACGAGATCCGTCTTATCACAACAGTTACTGCCTTTAAGAAAGCAGTTAAGACGGATCTCTTCCGGCAGGCCTTCCCGGAATAACCCTCCTCAGAGGACGAACACTATTTCTCCTTCCCTCAAACCTCTCGCTGCTGTTTAGTTGTTTGTTTGTTGTGTTGTTGTTATTGTATTGTTGCACTTTATTGTTATATTATGTGTTTTAATATATTCTTAGCTTAATCTTGTTTTAAGGGGTGGGTGGGATATGGGAGGTGGGATTGGGATATTGGATTGTTTTAATTGTACTATTTTAACTGTTGTAAGCCGCCCCGATTGCGATGCAGAGGGGCGGGTTAGAAATAAAACCTATTATTATTATTATTAAGACATTTTGGCTGGGAAATATTTTTTACGGTGTGTGCCTATATATGCCGCATAATAACTTACAGATTTTTTTAAAAAAAAATCTATAAGGAATATTGCAGTAAAGCAGATGGAGTCATATAAATATAAAACAGGATTTTTGATGCATCAATCAATCAATCAATTTATTTTTATCCCAACTTTCTCTCAAGAGTGGGACTCAAGGATTTTGTTCAGAATATTGTGCCTCCTCTGAAACTTGAAGTTGGCAACTGATAGTTTTCAGAGTAGTAGGTAGGACATTGCACTTTACATGTAAGTTTTCATTTAGTCCCAATCCTCAATATCCTTTTGGTCCGTGCCAATTTCAAGGTGGTTCTCCAAGGTTTCAGTCCATCACTCTAACTCTGTGGTTCCCAATCCTTGGTCCTCTAGATGTTTTGGTTTCTCCTCCCATAATTCCTGACTGTTGACCAAGTTGGTTGGTGTTTCTGGGATTTGAAGTCCAAAACAAATGGTTTTGGACCAAAGATTGGGAACCACTACTATAACTAGCTGCTTGAACACATGGATGAGATGGACACCAGTGCAAAATAGAAATAAAATAATAGGAACCTAACCAGAGAACGGAAATGTTTTTAATCTTCTTAAAGACCCTTGAAAGTCAACCAAGTGGGCAATTTCTGGCCACTTCTGCTGATGGTAAGGTGCCAGATTTTGGTCACTATGCTTAGACTTTTAGGGCCTTTGCAGACTGCTAGAAATAGTGCAAATCGAGTCCACTTTAACTGTCCTGGCTCAGTGCTAGGGAATCATGGGAATTGTAGTTTTTCCTGAGACATTGAACCTTCTCTGTAAGAGAGCTCTGGTGTCACAATAAACTACAGTTCCCATGATTCCCTAGCACTGAGTCAGGGCAGTTAAAGTGGACTCAATTTGCACTATTTCTGACAGTCTGCAAAGGCCCTTTGTCTGGTTTTGAGGATGGACCCAGCCCAAATCCCATAGATCGGTCACTGTTACTCTTGTGAAAACAACAATGGTTTGCCAGACTACTTAAAAAATTATTTTCTTTTGCTTTGGTTTTTGCATAGTATATTGAATCCATCTTCGGTGCCTTAGCTGCTGGGAACATTTTGTACTACGGTATATGTCTCCTATGTTCTTACCTTGCTAGCTTGGCTTTATTCTTAAATTATTGGGATCTGCTCTGGGCTTTAGCTTGAATCACCAAGGAGCTATCTGCAAGAGAGATGAGGTCTGTAAGCAAATTCCCTTTGGGGAAAAAATCTCGCCTAGAAAAACCCTATGATATGGCCTTAGGTTGCCATAAATCAGAAATGACTTGAAGGCACACATCAACAAAATGTTTACTATGTTTTTACCTTGTTCAAATTATTGATGGGTTTAATCTGGGAAATGTTTTAAATTTGTGTACGTTGTAGGTTGCCCTGAGATTCAGTGATAAAAGGCCAGGGTAGAAGTGTGTTAATAAGATAAATGAATAACCCCCATCTTCCTCATATGGTTTTGCCTTGGGGATGATGGGAGTGGTAGCCTAACAAATCTGGGGAGTGCTGGGTTAGGAGAGGCATTTTCTCTGTAGGCAAACATAGAGCTGTCAATTGCATCTTGGGGATCAAGACATCACCCATCTCCCTTGCTTCCTGGCAAAGATGGCTAGGCCATGCCTGTCCCCAGTTGCCCTTCCTTGCATCCTTTTTTAACATTGGAGGTTAGGTGTGCTATGTACTGCAGCAGCAGCTTGGGTTATCCTTGGCATTTGATGCCATCACATACTGCCTATGAAACTGTATAGCCCATGAAACAATCAAACAATCACTCTCCGGGGCATTGCATCAATTTTTTATTTGTCTTCTCGGTACCCATCTGTAGGTAAATTTAAAATACCAGTAATCTCTGCAGCATGAGAAATGGAAGGACATTCAAGTTGACGGTGTGTAGCAATTGTGGGATGGGGTGAGGGTATTCAACACTGGGAAGTGAAGCAATGTGCAAAGGAAATGGAAGAGATTACAGTTAATACAGGGCAGATATCACCCTAGGGTGCAGCTGGAGGTTGAGAAAGAACCTTTCTGGGGGACTTGCATGGTGGTTGACAGAATCTGGCAGTTGTAAGCCCCCCAGAAGGAATGTGCAAAACCTCTGGGTATGTCACATGGTTTGGAAGCCAGCCTCTGTGACTTCTAGATGCTGACCAATTCCATGTAGAGTTGGGAAAGACTGCTATCTGATATCCTGGGCTGCATTTACATTGCAGAAATAGTGCAGCTTGATGCCACTTTAAATGCCATGGTTGTGAGATACTTAGCCTTCTGTCAGACAGCTCTGTTGCCACAATAAACTACAAATCCCAGGATTCCATAGGATCAAGCCATGACAGTTAAAGTGGTGTCAAACTGTGTTAATTCTGTAGTGTTGCAGCAGTACTGGAGAGCTATTGCCTTTTAAAAACTAGATGGACTACTGGTTTGTCTCCATGGAAGTCGGGTTCTTGTGTTCTTATGAGCCTGGTGTTTTGTGGTTTTCACTGATGGTTATGCACAGAAGGGGTATGTGTGTCCAAAGCACTCCTTGTAGAGGAGCCATTGTTGATTTCAGCCATGCAGCAAATTGTAGGGCTTGACATTGCCATGGATATCCAACT